CATTTTCATAATTTTTTGCTGCACCTTTATATATCATAGATCTGATGAAATCTGTCATTCTTTTTAGCAATTTAACTGTAAATTTTCTTGGGCTTTCCTTCACCCTCCAAGATGTTTCTTTCTTTTTAATTCTTATATTTACTCTGATTTCTGTTCTTCCTACACTACTCTGTACAATGCAAACTAGGACAAGCTTTTCAAATTGTTTTCAAAGTTTTAATGTTTTACCACTGCAGTGAGATGTGACACTTTAAGTAAGTTTTATTCTATTATCACTTTATGAAGTAATTTTACCATAAACAACAATGAGGGCCTCCCCTGGTGGCACAGGCAATTGAGCGCCGCGCTGTGAAGCTGTCTGTAGCCTCCACAGCGCTGGTTCCATCCTGGCCAGCTGGCGAGGGTCCCACATGGCACAGCAGACCTCTCCTGTCTCACCCGCTGCTCCCCTTAGCAGTGTATTGCAGTCAGTCTGCCTGTTCTGTTCCCCGCTTTGTCTCTGGTGAATCCTCTCACCCTCCCGTGCATTTGGCCTGTACCCCGGTTCTTGTATAAATAAATAGATAAATCTTTAAAAAAATGGAAATGTTTGCTAAAAACATTCTTGAAAAAGAAATAATAAACAGCAATGGACTTTGTTGACTTTTCTTTTTTTTAATTAGATAAGCTTTCTTCATTAATCTGTTAAATGTCATGAATTTTATTAATAGCTTTTGCAACTGTATATCTTCCTTATATTCTTGGAGGACAAACTTATATGAGCCTAATTTAACTTACCTATGCATATTTTAAGCATTTTGGATTTTGGTTGTTAATTGGCTTGTGAATGTTAGCTTCTAAATTGATGTAGTAGTATGACTGACATATTGTCCAACTTGTTTTACTTTGATTAAGTTGTTCCATTAAAAGAGCTAGACAATCTTCTTGGTTCTCCTGGTCTCTGAAAGTCTATCTCTATGTATGGCAAATATTAGAATCGTTTGTTACTTGCATATTTAATAGAACCAGTTTGTTTGCTAGCTGGGGGAGAATACAATTATTATTTAGTAGCAAATGTTTTATATGCGTCTCGATTAATAAGTAGGTAGAGACCTTTTCATGTTTTCTATTTCTTGTCCAATTTTTGAGGAGTTGTTTTTCCTAATAAATCATACCCTTCATCCAAATTTTCAAAATTATAGTCAATGCAATGACCATACGTTTTAATGGTCTCTCTGTGTGTGATTATGTCACTTTGGTTATTTATGTGGGTTTTGTGTGTATGTGTGCATGCCTTCTTAGCCTGTCTGGCTTTTTTTTTTTTTAAAGATTTATTTATTTTTATACAAGAATTGGGGTACAGGCCAGAGATGCACAGGGGGGTGAGAGGATTCACCAGAGACAGAGTGGGTAATAGAACAGGCAGATGGACTGAAGTACACTGCTGAGGGGAGCAGTGGGCGAGACAGGAGAGGTCTGTCCCACCATGTGGGTTTCTCCCTGGCTGGCCAGGAACAGAACTTGTGCTGCAGTGGCTGCGGATTTCTTCATGGGTTGCATTTTAACCCCTGTGCCACCAGGGAGGCCCCGTCTGGCTTCTTTTCTTTTACTTTGGATCCATTCTGTTATTCTCTTTCTAACTTCCTAATGTGGACACTATGCTCATATTTCTTCAAACACTTTCCACAATAAATGTCTTTCTGAGCATTTATTTGCCATATCCTGTAACATTTGTGTTTTCTTTGCTTTCAGTTATATCACCTAATTATTATGATTGCATTTTTGAGTTATATAGAATTGTGTTATTTCCAAAAATATAAAGATTTCTTTCCCCATAAGATGAATCTTTTCCAATAAGTTCTTCTGTGGAGAAGGCAGCACTCAGAGGTGCTGACTCCACCCAAGTCATGGCCCAGGAGTCATTGCTTCAATACTAAACTCCTGATTCCTCACTCAGTGCAGCAACCAAACACCCAGTACTCTGGGGACTGGCACTTCCCACCAAGACAATCTGTACTAAGGAGTTTATTCTTTTGGTTTTTAGTCCTTTTTTACTTTGAGCCCCTGTTATCCCTTTTGTTGCAAGCTAAATTATACATTTTAAAGTGTTTTGGAGCAAGATGTCTTCAGACTATTTAGTCAACCACATTGCCAGAATCAAAAGTCTGAAGGTGGGTGTTCATTTACATGTTGTAGTTTGAGGAGAGGAGAGAGGCCCAATATATACTGACTGCTAGCCCATTTTTCTTAGTAAATGTCATTCTCAGGAGGATATTAATTTTCCAGTGGGGTCTTTATGTAGAGGACTGCTTCTTTTTCAGCATGGATTATAGATGATCCTTATTCCCTTTGCTCATCAGCATCCATCACTGTATCTATCATCATATCTAGACAGTACCTTGAACTCTAGGATTTAAGCCTCCATATGGCCACAGAATATTAGGCTTAGATGTCAAAAAATTTAGATTCATGACTAGTCTCATTAGACAAGAGGGTTAAAATTACTTATAAAATATACATGTGAGGGAACAGTAAAGAGAAGTACTTGAGTATAGTTAAGAAAATGAAGACGAAAAAGATAGGAGGTGGGCGGAGCAACATGGCGGCGAGGAGACGCTGCGAGTAAGATCTCCCATTAAAAAAAGTTAATAGGGAGGAAAAGCGGCAGGTCCCAGTGAGAACTGGGACACGGAAGATAAACGGACGACTCCAGCAAACTGCCCGAAGAAGAAAGTGGCCATAAAAGAGGACTAGAAGGGAGGGAAGCGCAGAACCCTGCTCCCCTCCCCCGCCCACAGAGGCGGCACTCTCCGACCGGCAGAGAGGAGGAAACAACAAACCAAAACGGCCAACAAAAAAACGGACACAGCAAGCGGGACTGTGAGTGGAAAGGAACTATTGCAGCCACCACACCCCGTGAACGGGAGCTGAGGCGAACCCTGCAGGATCCGCCGCGGAGGTGAGCTCCAGGCGCCATTAAAGAGAGCCCCGCCCCCCAGGAGGAGACCAGCACCAGCACACAGCCCCGGCTGCCCGGTAAGCCTGCGCTGAAAGTGGCGCGGATCCAGACCGGATCGCAGCTGCCCAGGTCCCCGCGCCTGCGACCTAGGCTTGCGGGGAGACGGCGGAGGCCCTCCCTGAGTGAGCAGGAACAAGGCGCCCAGGCAGGGGAGCGGGATTCAAAAGGCGCCATTCCCGCGCCACTGATCTGGGCTACAGCCCGCGTCCTGGAACTGAGGGCTTTGGAACTGAGACCCGGGGCACGAAATTAGGGGCGTGGGTTCCCCACGACGGTGGGGCACAAGGCAGACACAGCACCCCAAAGCCGTTGAGGTGTACCCTACCATCCCCGCTCTGCTCCCTGTCCCACGGGGTGGAAAATCAGCTCCCCAAGGGCTCTAGGAGAGATCTCTGGCGCCACCTAGCGACTTGACCCCAGCACAGGCTACTGAAGGAGCTAGTGGCCAGCTGGGGAGTTAGCCCACACCTGGCTCCTTCCAAACAAGTAGTCTGAGCCCAC